AATGCTGGTACTGATTCCTCATCTGTTTCTTGAAGAGCCAGCTCAGAATCAATTATTATTCCTTCTTCGTAATTTCTTGCTTTACATTCAATGCTGATGATGAACTGGTATTCGTTGTTGGCTCAAATGTTCCTACTGTTGATGCTGGCTGGCTGTTTACCAGCGAAAACTGCTGAAGTGCCTGGTTTCACTGTCTTCAAAAGTTAGGTATATAAGATTACCATTAAAAAGAAGTTCGAGAGACTAAGAAAAATCAGACAAATCATAAGGAATATTTTCTATGCGTACTTTATTCCTAACTGAGTAATGCTATGCTTTGTCTGGAAAATTATTTCGCTTGTACACTATTTTGCGGGTCTTTTGATATTTTAAGTGTGGACGGATCAAATTGTAATCTTGATAGAAAAGACATTTGTTTAGTTTAAAAAAAATAAAGTTCATATTTATAGATTCATGACTTAAAACAAAGATTCTCACATTTTTTTGCTAACGTTATAATGTCGTCATTTGGATCAACCTCAAAACGACTCGTCCCCTCATGCGTTACAATCTTGAGTTTCAAATAGAAAAACAGCAAATCAGCAAAAAGACTATTATTATTCAAGTCCTTAAATGTTTTGAAATTACCATATTGTAGTCTTAGCTGGAAGAAAAATATAATTGCAACAAATATCCTAGGTTTTACGGATAGAAATTCGGCATATGTAAAAAAATGCATGTTTAACGGCAACTTTCTAGCACATGTACGTATTACGTATGCAATTTAGTAGATCGTCACTTACGTACATGTATTTGATTTTATTATCGTTATTCAAAAAATAAAACCATCTTTAATTTTCTATATCGATATACATGTAATCAAATCGTCTAATACACAACACTAACTACACTCACCTAAGTTGATTGACATCATGAACAGCAACGTTGAACCCTACTCTGGTTACACTCGTAAGTGTTGTGGTTAGCAATTTAAAAGAAAAAGAATAGTTTCCCTCTTTCTAACCTGCCATAAATTATTCCAGACCTTATCTCCTACTTGAAGGAGCACACAGAGTGGTCATACACTGAATTTTTAGATCTTAACCGAAGTGCCGTTCTTTTCTCACAACCTCTTTAGGACAAATGGAATGTTCTTGATATCACATGGGCTCGCAGATTTTTAACGGAAGCAAAGGAAGCAAAAGAACATGATTTTACAGCTTTGAAGAAGAAGGTCATGTATTGTATATTTCGCAATAATAAGGAGCTTCTGTCTATTCTCATCTAGATTAGAAGTATTGGTTCTTGTCCCAGCCCGAGTAATAATAGTGGTAACCTCATCTAGGTTAGGAGGTATCGGCTCTCATTCCGGCCCTACTATTGCGATTAACATTTTCTTTTTTGAAATTAAATTTTTTACTTGTGATATGGAGATTATGCACTCATTTTTGCTTTATATTTCTGTTAGATAAAAAATCAACGCGCAAACAAAAATTTACAGGAGTACTGGGAAGGAATAATATATGAACTGGAAAAGGTTTTGATGCTACTTACTTTTATGTGTTATCCTTTTATACACTATCATACAAATAATGACCAAAATCTTGCAAAACAGACGAAAGCAAAACGAGCACATTACATCGGAAGCATGAGCGTATACTGCGAGGTTGCCAAATACAATTAATCGACGATATTGCCAAAAATCCGTTTTTGGTATCCAACGAGACAAAGGTCACAAAGTCAGCTCGTAAGTGGAATAGTGACGAAGAAACACCATCAGTGTCGCCAACCAAACGGGTGAGATTATGAGACTTTTCAAATTATTTCTTGATAGCAAATCACTTATTAACATATATTCTGTGTGATCTTCCAGACGAAATTAAATGAAGATACAACTCCAGATATTATATCTGGTTT